CTGAATAACCCTAACAGAGTAAATATTATTACCTCCTATTTTATAGATGAGGAAACTGAAGGTCAGAGAGAGATTCAATGACTTACACAAAATTACCCATTAATAAATGGGAGGGAAGAAACCCTACTCAAATGCAGTTTTTCATAACCTCAATTCTGTATTCTTCATTGAGTATGAATCTTTGTGCTAGAGACTGGAGAGGACGATACCAAATCCAAAGTAGATTATTTCCCAGGGGGACCAGCCATCCAGTTAGGCAGGTAAAACAAGATGGTGAAATAAAATGGTTAAGGGACATGGCAAAGCAGTGTGTGCTTAGTGTTAGAATAGAGGGAGAAGTCCCTGTGGGTTGGGAAAATTTCAAGAGGAATGGAACAAATACTCAAGGAATGGGCATTTTAGGCAGAGATTCTCCAGCATGAGCAATGACAAGGAGATGAAAACAGGCAAAATGTAGTAAGTACAGTGAGAAAACCAATTCAGTGGGCCGAAGAGAATGATGAGAAAGAGGGGACAGGATGAGGTTGTAAAGATTTAAATGCCAGATGAGAGTTTGTTCTTAATTGTCTATGGAAGGTATACAGTTGGGGGTGGGAGAGGATAGCCCTGGGAAACTGGACTTGGCAACTCTGCATTGGATGTGGGGAGAGAGAATGGAGTCAGGGAAACCAAGGAGAAGGCTACTACAGTGGCACAACTTTGAGGTCTGAGCGTGGGTGAGGTTGTTGGTACTGGGACTATAAAGGAAAGACCAGTGGACAGACTTAATGACTGATTGGGAATGAGAGAAGGACTCACCATGTATTTGACTCAAGAGTTTGCAAACCACTGTGAGTTTTTTCTTCTATGAATTTTAGACCCTTTCTTATTTTTTATAAACTTGCTCCACATTTTTATTTTATTGCTCCTATTCATTAATTTTTCAAAAGATATTTTTGAAGGCCTCCTATGCTCCACATTTCCAGATCCGAATGATTTCTGCATGTGTATCCTTCTAAAAATATGAATGTACACAAATGAGTAACAGTTTGTGTTTAAGGTGCAACTACCAGGAACGCCTCAGTTACAAGTGGAAATCGATCCCTTTTTAGCAAGTGCAGACAGAAGCCATTTTAGTTGAGATCTCAGAAATATAATTTAGCAATCAGAACCAATCAGCATCTGACACAATTTTGTACACAATGATTTTAAGGAATTAGTGATGCGGCGATTAAAGCAACAGGTGATAGACCTTGGCACATTTTGGTAAAGGTTTGTTTTGCTGTTGGACAAGCTGGCTTCACCTCTTTTGAACTTTCTACTTATAAACGTGGTTAAGCTAGTCAATAGAAAACTTGATGACCTTATTCCTGTTGGTTATAACATTTGCATGTGGCATTACATAATAAAATGACATATTTGAATGGCAGAAATCCTTAAAGTGGTTCTGGAGGTTTTTATTAAAACCCAAACCTTTTTATAGGTTGTATTTCCAAGGAACTATACTTTTTATTAAAAATTTCTTCTTCCATTGACTTGTCAGGGTAGCCTTGTGCTGTACAGGCTCTATGTTATCTCCCAAAATGAGAAATGAAAATAAGTTTTGTTTTGTCTTTGAGAATGATAATTTAAAGTGAATTTATACAACATTAATATTTTCGCTTGCTTTGTTTTTATCATCCTTGAGGGGCAAAATTCACTATGAGATTTTGTAATATAATATTTGCCCCATCATGGAATATTTTCAAACCTGGCATATTTATTTTTAACAATACAAATGTTTGTTCGAAGTTAGATTTAGCATAGTTGGTTAACATTTGTTGGGGGAACAAAGGGTTAAAGAAAATGTACTTGACAAAATTGAATTGAAGCAAAGCATATATTAAATATGATTAGGGCCTATTTCCTCCACAGAAGAGTTTTGTTTAAAATACACCGTGACCAAAAGCTTAATTATCAAAATAAAACAAGAGGCATAAAGAGTTACAGGCTTCTAATATTTTTTTCAGCCCCAGTTCCCTTCACACAGTTATCAGCATGTTTAATTTCCGTGCATAATAGCACTAGTTATTGTTGTCATTTGTAAAGGGAGATTAACAGATAGTAAGTACAAACAAACCCAAATAAGCACTGAATAGAGAGGTGACAAAGAAAAAAAGACCTCTTTAATGTTAATTATAACTGGTAGGAAGTCTAGACAAATTATATTATCTGTTTTCTATATGATTTGAAAGGACATTTAGTTAGTAACTCTGTCAGAGATAGAGTTAGGTGTTTGCTTTAAAAACAGGTGAGATGACAACTTAGCATCTCCCTGGTTGGCAGCTCCCCAGTGAGTCATGAAGTTGTAGTAAATTGATGGAATCAAGTTTCAGAAGCATCTGAAAAAGAACTCTGGGCTTTTCAATATTA